TTTGAACGCCTAGTGACAGAGGCGCTGGAAGTGTTGCTTTCTGTTGCAAAGAGATAATATGTCTTTGTAATTGTTAAGTTACTTTTGAGTATGATTTTGGCTGAGTATAAATTGCCTGAAATTACTTCGTTGCCATCGTTGTAAAGAACTCTATCGATAACTGGTGTGGAGAGTGTGTCAGAATATGTAACATTGCCGGTACCTAACTCGGATGTATGATTGGCGGCGAACTCAACAACAACAAGTAACTTTGTCTTATTATGATCCTCTGGAGCGTTAACTTTGAAAGTCCATTCTGTCTTGTTCGTGCTTGCTACGGCTGTTGCAGTGCTAACATTTTGTGATGTTTTGACGCTAGTGACAGAGGCGCTGGAAGCGTTGCTTTCTGTTGCAAAGAGATAATATGTCTTTGTAATTGTTAAGTTACTTTTGAGTATGATTTTGGCTGAGTATAAATTGCCTGAAATTACTTCGTTGCCATCGTTGTAAAGAACTCTATCGATAACTGGTGTGGAGAGTGTCAGAATATGTAACATTGCCGGTACCTAACTCGGATGTATGATTGGCGGCGAACTCAACAACAACAAGTAACTTTGTCTTATTATGATCCTCTGGAGCGTTAACTTTGAAAGTCCATTCTACTTGTTCGTATTTATATCCAGTGAAGATAGAATAGAAGTTTGGAGATGGTGTATAGAACTTTATACCTCGAACTGAAAAATCTTCTAACTTTGACAATAAGATATCCCAAGCATCTAACATCTTCCTTCCAACTTGTACAACTTTTATTTTCTTAAGTTTCTGTCTACATTCTTGTTCAGACACTATTGTTGCTCTTGGTTTGTTAAAGACAACATCCCATTCTTTCATGACATAACATTCTGGGGCAGAGTCAACATAAATGACTAAACGTTTCAAATTCTCGACTGCTTTGTTATAGTCTCGAAATGGACACATATTTCTGAATGCTTGGAAGTCATAAAAATCTGAAACATCTATTCTGTACATTTTTTTATAAAAATAAAAAAAAATATTTTTTTATTCTTGAGCTTGTTGTTCCATTTGTTCCATTTGTTGCATTTGTTGTTCTTGAGCTATTTGTTGTTGAAGTTGTTCTTGTAATACAATACTTTCACCAGTTGCATCTTCCAATTCGAAACTTTCTGCCGTCATTGACAAATACATAGGACATAAAAGTTTTACAGGAACAAAGTTTGCGTCAACTAAGGTTAAGTTTATGTTTGCTAAAGTGTTTGAGTTTACTAAAGCTGAAAACTCTGCATTCGAATGAACAATAGGCAAACCAGCAGAGAAAGTATTGTTTATACGCATAAGTATCTTTTGGTCATAATAGTTTCTGTCGACATTCGAATAACACTTTGAACCTAAGTTTGAAACAATATATAAGATTGGTGTGCTTAAAGTCAATGGAACAGACATTCCTTGTATGACACCTTTTCCTGTTATAGGAAACTGTTGGTAGTAAAAACCAGATATAAGTTTTGTATTATAACTCATATCGTTTATAGTAAACTCAGTCGGACATTCAAACATAATGAAACCTGCTCTAGTTGCAGCACATGTTACACCCGTCCTTAAAGTATTAAATAAGTCAACAAAACCTGTTGGTGGTATATCTGAGTAAGTATCTTCAAAGGAGTATTTTTTACCATTCACAACAATAAAGTCTTCTGGTGTCAAAAGAGCAAAACAGGCTTTAGTCGTCATTGTGTTTAAGGTTAGTTTACAATATCGTCCTTGAGGACTTTGTAAGTTTGTTGTTATAGAATTATATGACTCAGGGTTTTTAGTCGTAATAGTATAAACCATTATGTCTTCTGCCATTTACTTAGCAAATAAATTTTAATGAAATGTTGTGGTCGTCAAATATTTTTATAACGTCTGGGAAACTATATTTTAAGTTCAACGTTTCACCTCCTTTCATAACGTATATCTTGTCAATGACATTATATGAAACACCACAGCAACTAATGTCGGGTTCTATTTCTTTGATGTTTATATCGTCTGCCTCTGTCAAAAGTTTCAATAGTTCTTTCAAAACTTCATGAGGTGCAATGACATATGAGTTCACTTTTACAGGGTTGTGTTCGACCAAGTTTAACATTATACTTAAAGCTTGACAAATCTTCTCCTGAGTTTTAAGTTTGTCTTTCAGTTGTTGGTAGTCGTTTCGAATATCTGCAACAGAACTTAAGTCTCTGCTAACTTCAGGATATGTTGGTTGTTCTTTTACAGGAACTATTGTTATACCATCTTCGTCTTCGTATGGTTTCCCCACTTCAACATCTCTGTCTTTGACATTGACAACAACACTTTGACTGTTTGTTTGAGTTGGTGAATTTAACTTCACATCTGCCACCGCCATTAAACCTTTTGAAACACTTACACTTCTATTTTTCGGAAATGACATTTTACTTAGAATAAAAAGATGGACGTATTCAGATATCTCTTCGAATTGAAGCAAAACAAAGTTTACACACACAAACAATACAAATACATTGACAGAATAGTTCTTTACACAAACAATGGAAAATGTTATAGAATAGCAGTCTTTGCTGAACCTAAATATTTTCATAAAGCAAAGAAAGTTGGTATAACTGAAATGGTGAAAGTTCTTGAAGCAGACAAAAATATAACTTCAAAACTTACAGATATTTCTAAAGGAAAGTTTATAATACAATATTATGTCAAAACTGGCGTACTGTCAATATTTGACGGAGAGAAGTCAGTTCAAGAACAACTTACTGACCTGCTGCCAAAATCTGCTCGATGGAAGCTGTCGTTATGCCAATCTGAGGAGCCCCAGCAGGTTTCATCGAACGAATTTTCAAAAGAGCATCTTCCGTGAAAAGTGCTATTGGTTTTGTAAACTTCTTTGCTTTCAATTCATCTGGACCGTCTCTGTCACCAGTATATTGTATTTGAACTGTACCAACAGTTGAAATACCACCCATAAAGTCTTCTGAGTCAGCAAATGGAATGCCAAGCCAAAAGTTTGAACGGTCTCCATTTGTATATTGAGTTTTTTGACCTCCTGTATGGGTCCATACTTTCACATATGGCATAATAGAACTTTGCATTTCAGGGTTAATGGTTGTTGTGAAGTTGTTGTTAAAGTTCATAGCATCTAATGTCAAGTTGTATGACCTCATATCCTCAACTGTAGAATATTCTTCTCTTGGATAATATTTGCCATCTATGTTTATATGATATTTAATACCAGGGTTGTAGAAACAAGAATAGTCATTTATAGTTCGTCTGAAAAGAACAAACATAGTATCTGCATGTTTCATTGCAGTTGTTAAGGCAATATCTGTTCTTGCACCTGGGTCAGCACTTTGGTTTCCAACTTCACCTGCAAAGTCTTTGACAGATATTTGGTGTATAGGGAACATAAGTGGAACTGCAATATATTTGGCAGCTAAAGCATTTGAAATATCTGGGTCCAACATATAGACTGCAAGTCTGCTTTCTATTCTCTTGCATTCAAATTTTTCGCATGTGAACTTAACTGGGTCCCAAGCATCTCCAGCAGCATTGAAATAATAGTTTACTTCAGTGTTGAGGTTTGAGAAACCAAAGTCTAAGTCAACTTTGTCTTTGCAAAATTCGGCGAATGACGTTTTATTTGTTCCCTTTACGTCTGTAAGAGTGAATGGGTCTTGTGTTGGTGCAATGACTAAGTTATTTTTGCTTGGAGTAAGTTCGATAGAAATTTTTCCTGCCCAGTTTGGCAAGTATCTTAAAAACCTGAAGATGAGGAAAGATGACAAAGGAACTCTAAGTTTCAGTTTTACTTTAGTGGCAGCAGTTCCATCTGAACCAGAAAGGTTAACATAAACTCCTGGAACGTTAGGGTCAAGTCTTCTTATTTTCTCAATAGTTGCATACTGGTCTGTTTGTTCTCTAGCTTGTGGTTGTACTGAGTTTCTTAAAGCGAACCATTCATAGTTTGCCCATGTTACTGTTTGAACTAAGTCAGAGTTAGAATATATCTTATATCCCATGAAAACTTCTGGAGCATATTGGTATCCGACATAGAAAATTCCATTGCAACCTTTCTTTTCAGACAACTTGGCAGAAGGTTTTATTTCAATGTCTTGTTCCACGTATAAGAAAGAGTTGTCAATAGAAATAATATGAAACCTGTCGCAAGCAATATCTACTGTTGTTGAAGAACCTTCTCCAAACTCACCTACGTTTCCATAAGAAACAGCAGTTGTATATTCGTAAGTTCCAGGAACTATTTCTGACCTTCTAATGGCATTGTCGCATTCGTTATACCATTCGGAAACATTTCCATTCATGGCATCCAAAACTGTTGGCGTTATATTCTGAGCGGCGTACATTTCATATGGGTAAAAATATAGAATAGTTGGATTTATATGTCATAATAGAACCCACTCGGACCAAGCTTTACTTTCTTCCTGACTGAGTTTTTAACTCTTCTTTTTCCTTCATTGCCACTACTTTCACTAGATGAAGTTACTTCTTCACTACTTTCACTTTGTTCTACTCTTCTCTTCTTCTTTGGTGTCGCTTTTGGTAACTTGCCCTCTGCTTCAAGTTGTTGCATCTTTGCCTCATGTTCACCTAGTATGTTGTAAATTTCCCATGTCCTTTTTGCCTTTGGGCTCTGGTCGCCCATCTCAGGTAACCTATATCCTAGAAAGATTTTGTCATAGTTTGTATTTGAGTCTTCGCGTATTGTTTGCATGACTCTTTCCTGAGTTTCCGGTTCAAGCTCTTCAAACAGAGCTTGTCCATATGGAATAAGCTCGTTTCCAAATATATGTTTTTGTAGCCATTCTGGTTTTCTTTCCATGTTACCAATAATATCTTTTGTGAATGGGAAAGCTTTTACCCAATGTTTCAGTCTTTCGTCATTTATTTCTGTAGTTGGTTTTATTTTGTCAAGGAACATGTTTTTCAATACTAACATTTCATTTGGTACTGTCCATTTGAGTTTTCTTAAATATTCATCCCTTCTCGGTTCATTGTCTGCAAAGTAAGTTTTTATGACATTTTGTAAACTTTCGTTTGCAAGGTCATGTACAATAGGTTCTCTTCCTTCTCTCTCCCTAACTGTCTTTCTAAACTCTTCACCAAATATACCATCTCTATGGTTCTGTGTAGTTCTTTGAGATAAATGTTTTAGAACGTCAGGTGTTATATTTCCATCAGCCATGTTCATTTCATACTGGTTCAAAATATCTGCATCTTTCATATCTTTCAATGGCATTAAAGCCGCGCTGAAAATACCAGCTATATCTGGTTCACCATTCACTTCCATTGCGTCTACAACTTCTTGGAATTGTGGTTGTAAGTTTATGAACCACCTATCCGGATTAGCTTTATGACCCCATCTCATTGTAGTTCCATAGTCTGCAGAAACAAAAGTAGGTTTGTTTCCATATTGGTTAGGTTCTGAATGAACTTTAAACAATGTTTCATTTCTATATGTTTTGTTGAAATTTAACCTTTTATTTTCACCGAGTTCAGCCAAAGATTGAACGTTATATGGTCGTAAGTAAAAAGGATTGTTGTATTTGCGTACATTATCTTTCAGTACTTCCATTCTATGCTGAATATTTTCATCTGATGTTGGAGTCTTTTGTATGTCGGCAAACATTTTTCGATATTCTTCTACTATGTCAGCCGAATTTTTTTTAGACTCTTGGAAAGATTCCATATTCACCTCATACTCTTGTTGAGGGTCAAGATTTTTCGGCTGTTCCAAATCTTCATCTAGTTCTGTGAGGTTAGTTTCCAAAGGAGGGACTTGTTCGTTTCCTTCAGGCTCTTCTAGCTGTTGTTGCTGAACTATTTCTTCCATGTCTGGTTGTATCTGAACTTCTTCCTGTTGAGTTTCTTGTACCTCATCTGCTGGCATTTCATATATTCCGAGACCGTTTTTAAAAAGTTCCCTATCTAAGTCATCCGGACTCATAAACCTTTCTTCTTTCGTTCCGTCTCTATTTTTTACGCGTTTCATGAAGAGAGTTGAATTGTCATTTAGCTCTGACACCAAATATCTCGGAGTAAATTCGTTCATGTCATTTGGATGATATGCTATTAAATCATATCCCTTAGCGAGCTTGTATTTTCCAGGTTTGAAATTATATCCCATTTGGTGCTGAACCATAAAGCTAAATAGGTTCGGGTCTGTATTTCCTTCCTTGAACTTTCTAATAGCTTCTTTATATCTGTCACTAAAGTCAAGAGTATCTGGGTAACCATATTCTTCCTTAAGCATTTTTAAGAAATCTTGGTTTCCTTGTTCTCTACTTCTTTTATGTCCTTGCTCTGTTTGTGGTTGTTGTGCTGGTTGTGGAGGTGGTTGTTGTGCAGGGTTTTGAACTGTTGGTTGCTGTGCTGGTTGTGGAGGTGGTTGTTGTGCAGGGTTTTGAACTGTTGGTTGCTGTGCTGGTTGTGGAGGTGGTTGTTGTGCTGGTTGTTGTTGTTGTTGTGGTGCTGGATTTTGAACTGTTGGTTGTTGTGTTGGTTTTGGTGCATGCCTGTGTCTGTGTCCATGTGACGATGTAAATGTTTTAGGTAGTCCTGGTGCAGGTGCTTCTCTTGGAGGGTTTGGTGGTATATAAGTTCCACTAGCTAGTATATAAGTTCCACCAGCTGGTATATAAGTTCCACCAGCTGGCACATATGTTCCATCTGCAGCATAATGTCCTACCTGACTTTTCGTTCTTAAGAAAGCATTTACTAGGTCTCTTTTGGTCTGTTGTAACTCTTTTTCTTGACTTTCCACAACAGCTGTTCTAACGGCGTCATGGGCACTTTGAACTGCCTGTCTCGTTGCTGCATCTGTTATTTTCGTCATATTTTGTGCTACTTCTTTTAACTCTTTGTCGAAACCTTCAGACTTCAGTTTCTTTCCAGATGAGAAGTCGTTCACTAGTTTCACCTTACTATGAAGAGCTTCGAAGGCGTTCTTAAAGTCAGCATTCGTTAAAGCTTCATTTGAACTGTCTTCATCCGCTTGTATTTTTGTCCTTATTGACCCTATAAGTTGGGCTGCTTTAGCGTTGGCTTGGGCGTCTAACCAGTCATTATTAGCTTTTATATATTCTGCGCTTTTCATTGCCTTTTGCATGGCTGCGTCGTTATTTTTACTTTCTTGTGCTAAGTTTTCATACTGTACGGTTTGGTTTTGCAACTGTAAAAGTTTTTCTGCCTTTACATTTGCTTCAACTTCTTTTTTATACTCATCGCTATCCATATATGTCTTCAGGGCTTTTTGTTTTATTTCTTCATCTTTCAGTACTTTATATTGAGTAGTATGGTTTTTCAAATTTATAACATCTTGTTCCATTTTTGCTACTTCTGCTGCTTTTTCTGACACTTTTTTCGCATATTCCTCTGTACTTAGTTCTTTCAGTTGTTCTTCTTTCTTCTTTTTCTCTACGTTTAACTCATTGAGTTTCTTTGTGTGTCTGTCATATTCTAGTTTCTTTTCGTTTTCACTTATTTGTTTCTGTATGTCTATGTTTGACTTTTTGACATCTGTTATTTGATTTTTGAGTGAACTCAAATTCATTTGACTTTGAGGGTTATAAGCTGTTCCGTCTGCAGCTCCACCATAGCCTGCCATTTTCGCTAAAAGTGCCGCTCTTAAACCTCCACTCTGTGCACCAATAACTCGGTTTAAAAGCATAGGGTTGCTTGACATTTGTTGCAACATAGTGGGGTCATTCAGCATTTGTTGTTGCAACTGTTGTTGTGGTGTCAGTTTTACTATTGGATGTTTCAATGCTCCCTTCCTCTTACGTATATTCTTACGTAGCTTACGTGGCATTTTAAGTGAAGTTAAAAAGCGGTTTTATACTAAACATCTTCGGGGCTAGAGGGCGCAACGCGCCTGGAAGCCCCACTACCTTTTTTTTTTCAAGTAGATGTGATTTGATTCTGTACAACTAAATATTAATATATTTAAAACATTGTAGAATTAAAATTTTTGACGATATCAATTTATAAAAAAAATGCAAGCGAATCCTTTTAATAAAGCTAAGATACGATTTGCTTCACTTTGTCCACCTAGTAAAGTGTTCAACACAGGGAGCATGGACTGGGAAGCATGTGGGCTACTTGCATTAGCCGGTAAAGGCACAATTTATCTCTATAAAACTACTAAAAATGATATTTCTTTCTTATGATCCATTGAAATTCTAAATTCTAACATAACTTGCCTTAAATTCCACTATGAGCTACCTTATCTTGCAATTTCAGACGATTGCGGAAGAGTTTTGTTATGGGATTGTGAATCAGGTCTTACACTCGGAATCACTCGTCAAGTATCTGAAGCTCAGTATGTATCGGAGCTTCAATGGTCCCGTAAAATCGTTTTAGGCTTTGCAGAACCAAATACAATTTATAGTATCGATTTTTGGCCGTATGAAGCTGAAGATCAAGCGAAAAACTCACGAATACTTTGGAAGATAGATGTTCCTGGTACATATACAAGGATGGCTGTTAATAGTTCAGATATATTCACTGCAATTCTATATTCTAATGGTCCATCCTTTACAATTATCACGTCAAAGAATGCCAAGCAGGCTCCAACATCTCAATCTCAATCCCATACTTTAGATAAATCAGAAAAAATCGTAGAAATTCAACATCATCCCCATATTAGTAATATTTTATTAATTATGCTTGAAGGAAAAATACTTACGTTTAACATAGCGACCAAATCTGGCCGAAATCTTGTAATCGATGAATCATCCCAATCATCTTTCCATAAACTGCTTCCTTCTTTAACAAATGACAACGAAATTACAGTTTATGGTCAAGACTCGTCACTCAGTATCTATATCTGTAACGAAGACTACATTTTTACAAAATCAGGAACAATAAAATTGAAAAGAGAGCTGTTTGACTTAAAATCGAAGTATTTACCACTATCCGCTGCATGTAACCGTGCACTTCCCGAGCGATACATCGCGTTCTCTCCATCAAATGGCTTAGTTATGTTTGCCATAAAAGATGATATACCTTACGTCATCGCGCAGTCTCAAATTATACCACAGATACCAACCTGTTACGATTTCTACGACGGAATCCTTGCTTTCGGCACTCCAACCGGAAAGATAATTTTCGCAGACGTTTCAGAAGGGAAATACACACAGAACTACCTTGCATCCAGCACATCCATTGAAAAGATCAAGTTCCTTACCAAAGATGTCCTTCTGTGGTACTCAAAAACCGAGTGTGGATCAATAAATCTTCCCAAGCGCCAAGTTATTCCAATCCACACTCGCCTTGGCCCTGCCACAGACCTAATATGTTCAGAGGAGCTCGGCGTTTTCGTCCACGGCAAATACGACCTTGGTATTTTTTATGATGTCAAACAAAAGCCGATGACTCTTCAAACATCCATCACCGCTGTTGCAGTCCAAGTATCCAGAATACCAGCAACATGTTTCCAAGGCGATACTCCCAATTTCGCCGTATTATTATCTACCGGAGAAATCCAAGTCTACACATACAAGAACGGCATAGCACAGATGCCTGTTCTGAGGCTGCGTAACTCACGGGAGAACTCCAGGACAACTTGTCTTGCTTGGAAAGGCGATTGCATCATAACTGCTGACACAGACGGCGTAATTATGTTTTACGACTTTGCTTTCGGTACATCGAAGCAAACATACTCTCCTTTCATCGACATAGACAGGATAGAGTTCGAGAGATCATCCAGCGGATTGTACGTACACGCGAGAGACGGAAAATTTGGTTTTTCACTTGAAAAAGTGGAAAGTTGTCCTTTTTCTGTTTCCTCATTCGCTGTAACAGGAAATGGACTCGTCCTCGTCTCCCCGCTCAATGACGAAGCCGTGAAATTCGTTATTGCAAGAGACTGGAGATCTGTAAAAAGAATCACTTCACCTGCCCTCTTAAAACCGCTAAAAACCGCCCAGCAACGGTTAGAGCTTATGGGTGAGCAATTATTAACGAATCCTACTACAGGAACATGGTCAGAAGCACTTCAAATAGCTGAGATAGCTAATGACCATGGATTTCCAACTGATTCCATTATTTGGAAGTGTGTTTCACGTAGTTTGGGAGGTCCGAGGTTGCAAGCACGGCATTCCATGTTTGGAGGGAAAGAAGAAGTTGTTTCCGCGTTGAGGATTCAATCTTCTCTGTTTTCTCTGCAGATACTCCGATTTCTGCCATTTTCAACTTGTTGTTCAAGTTCAGAATGGGTGATAGAAGAGGAGCTGTCGAAGTTTTCAAGAGTCTCTCCAACAAAAGCGAGTTCACAATAGTGGCAAGCATTTGTTCGGCGTTGCTTCTCGGTTACGAAGATAAAATTTTGCCACAAAACGTGACAGAATTTGATGATAACAACCGCTGTTCCCTTTTTTGCACAGCACAGATTTATAGAAGGCTGTATATTGATGCATTTAGCTGGCGCTAATCTTTCTGCCGCAAGATATCTTCAGGACAACGGAAGATGGGAAGATTCTGTCGAAGTCTGCAAATTGGAAGAGTTTTCGAATGAGTCGAAGAGTTTGTTGAGAAGAGCCGCCCACCACTTCTTGGATACTGGAAATGCAATGAACGCTTTGTTGCTGTTCATATCAATAAGAGATTTCCATCCTGCTTTGGCAATTTTGATGCAGATAAAATACAAAGCTCTCGCGTTTCATTTGATGATGTTCTTGGATAGGGCTGATGTAATTAAGCCGTACGACGAAGACACTTCGAGATACGCAACACAGTTTGCGGATTTGGATACTTTGAGACAGGATATAATTGTCAAATATGACAAAATAATTAAGAAATAATTTTATTTGTATATTTATTTTCTTTATTTATAAAAAAAAGTCGAAAAAAAATGAAATTGTTTATATCGCATTTTCAATGATCTTTCAAGCCAGTTGTCAGATAGAAAAAAATTACGCATTTAACAAAGTTAAAGGGGAAAAGCATCCTGAAATTACGAAACATTTTAAAAAAAAATAAAAAAAAAATAAAGTGGGAAAGTCTGGAAATGATATGCTATGTATTGTAATTTTCAAAACTCAGCTTTCTAATGGAGCTATCACTTGTTACGTAAACTATATATATCGAATCAAAAGTTTGCCATGTTGTAATTTGATTTACAAGACATGATTTAATTAAAAAATAAAGGGTTTAAAATATAAAATAAAATATTTATCAAAGAAAAAAAGTTAAACTAAAAAATATATCAAAATAAATATTATATTAATATAAAGAGGTAGCAGTTTGACCAGCTGGATCTGTGATAGAAACTGTAATTTTAACCGTTGAGTCTTCAGAAATCTTTGAAGGAGCTGCAATTTGGAAAATTGTTTTCACTTTAGGAGAATATAATTTTCTCTTAAAATATACAAAAATAGTAATATCAATACATGTGTATAATATATAGGGTGTCCAAAGGTGCGTTTAGCACAGCGCTCTATATGAGACTATTAAAGGAGATATATGCTGATTATAAATATATAATAAAAAATATGAATATATGTATATGATGAGTATGTTGTATTTTGGCGCCATGCCGGGATATAAAATGAATTTTGAGACAAGAGGCGGTTTCGCGGGAAATTTTGGCGGGATTTTTTTCATTTTTTTAATGAATCATAAAGAAAACATCCTCGCTCTTGCAAAAAATGCAAAGACTGTAAAAAAATCTACGAGACATTGGTAAAATGCTTCGGTATGGATGCTCCTAGCTATTCCACTGTAACGTATCATGTTAGGATGTATCACTTCATGAACAAAAAGGCGCCCATCATAAAAATTGACAAAAAATCGCCGGATCAAAGAAAAATCAAAGCAATTCTTCAAGCGCTAGATGAAGACCCAAGAGCATCACTTAGAAGGATAGAGGAGATGACAAAGATACCACGTACAACAGTCAGTTATTATCTGCACAATTATTTGAACTACAAACTAGCGTATACACGTTGGGTTCCGCACAACCTTAATTCAGTTCAAAAAAAATCTAGAGTCCAATCTTCGAAAGAGCTCCTCTCTATATTGGGTGCGTATCAATCCAAGAAGTTTCGCTTTTTAGTAACAGGGGACGAGTCTTGGTTTCAATATGCAACAGAAGCCAAAATCATATGGATCCCGAAGGATGAAAATGTTGTAAACGAAAACGATAAAAACGGTTTGACAGTAAAGTGACACTTTACATGGCAAAAAATAGAGCCTTACTTTTGAGATACTTGAGATTGAAACTGAATCTTATGAGGCGGTGATCTTGAATCACTACCTCATAAGGTTCAGTTTCATATAAAATTTGTTGCAATTTGTTATTCTTTTGCAATCATTTCTTATAAGATTTTACATCTTTTAGCGGGAATGTTTGTTATCATGTATATATTATAAATATCTACACGATAACGAACATTCCTCGCTAAATTGCTGAGAAACTTTGAGGAAATGTCGAACAATTTCCTCAAAGTTTCTCAGATTTATATAGATCACTAGAGTCCCCTAGGCACTGATTCTGGTTCAGTACCTAGGAGGCTCTAGTTCTTTAACGAACTGATAAAATGTTTTTAAATTTTTGGATATTGCTACCTGTGAAGCACTGACTTCAAGTCAGTACCTCACAGGTAGCAATTACATTGAAAGATGGGAGAAACTTTGTCCGAATGTTAAACTATTCGGACAAAGTTTCTCCCATTTGTAGTGGAGATGGAAGGCTTTGAGGTATATTGTATTAATATATACCCCAAAGCCTTCCATCTCCACTTGAAAGTGTCCAAACTTTGGGTTAATAGTTTGCAATTAACCCAAAGTTTGGACACTTTCTAGAAGGAATTGGAGGGTAAGAGATATACATTCATATGGTATATCTCTTACCCTCCAATTCCTTCTTAAAATGGGAGAAACTTTGTCCGAATGTTAAACTATTCGGACAAAGTTTCTCCCATTTTAAGAAGGAATTGGAGGCTATGAGATACTGATGAAATGTCAGTAACTCATGGCTTCCAATTCCTTCCTAAAACTCATAAAAGTGGACATTACATGCATATAAAATTTGACATGTAAAGTCCACTTTTTGCGAGCGGGGATTTGACTCCGTCAAATCCCCTTTTTCGTTTACGAGAAAAATCCGCAAACATTCCCGAAGAAAAAAATTGACACACCAATGATGATGTTGTCGGTTTTTTGGGGCGTAAATGACATCATCGCAATTGATATTCTTCAAAAACCTAATACGATGAATGCTCAGTATCTAATTGACAATGTTCTTACTCAAATTATCAATTCTGATGAGTTTGAGAAATCCAAACAACAAAAACAAAAGTTTGCAATTCATTTTGATAATTCAAGAGTTCACAAAAGTCATAAGGTAATGAATTACTTGGTGGAAAACAATGTCAAAGTTGTTCCAAACCCAATTTATTCACCTGATATTGCACCCTCTGACTTTTATTTATTCGGCACGCTAAAAAAGAGAGCTGAAGGACGCGAATTCGCGAGTCCAGATGATCTTGAAAATTTTGTAAGAGAGCAATTTGAGCAATTTTCTCATGATGATTTAAAGCGTGTCTTTCAAGCCTGGATCGATCGCTGCGAACGCGTGATTGAATCCAATGGTGATTATATTTAAATAAACTTTATATATATGTAACTTGTTTATTTCTATTTGCAGTATTCAGGTTTGTGCTAAACACACCTTTGGACACCCTATACTTTAAAACCATCGTGACAAAATTCAAAAACGAAGAGTTCTTCTCTCCAAATTTTTTTCAAAATCAAAAAAATGAGATAAAAAAGTACGTTTGGAAAATTCATTTTTAGCATTTTAGGAATTTTCTCACTTTTCTTCCAAATTGACATCCTTAATTAAATTAAATTACACATTAACACCGGAGCCGGAATCATCTTGGATATCAGATGATGATTTATCTTTAGATGGTTTCCTGCAGAAAACGAAGTAGATGATGAGAATAATAAGGATAACAGCAAGAAGAACGCCAATAACAATACCAGCCTTCTGTCCACCAGTAAGTCCACTATTTTCAGGTGTTGGAGTTGGCTTGGAATCATCAGGGCTTGGTGCAACGTATTGTTGTTTCTGAAGTGAAACCTCTGTTTCAATGATATTGGATTGAGCTTGATCTTTGGATCCAGCTAACCTAATTTGAAGTTTAACTTTCCCATCTTCTTTGATATCTTCATACTTTGGAGCTGGAATGTTGAGTAGATATGTTTTGCCTTCGTCGGCATGTAATTTCTTAATTGCAGATGGGGTTTCTACTTCAGTTACATTGTCGTCTGGGAGATCTATCCATTTCTGATCTGCATAGAATCTATATTGGAAGTTTCCTGTCTTTGCCTCAAAGTGTTGTAATGTAACTTTAACTGGAATATATTCACCGGCCTTGAATGGTCCTGTATGATTTTCAGCAACAACAGTTGGCGCAGATAAATATGGAGACTTTCCAAGAGAATATGTAACATTGCCGGTACCTAACTCGGATGTATGATTGGCGGCGAACTCAACAACAACAAGTAACTTTGTCTTATTATGATCCTCTGGAGCGTTAACTTTGAAAGTCCATTCTGTCTTGTTCGTGCTTGCTACGGCTGTTGCAGTGCTAACATTTTGTGATGTTTTGACGCTAGTGACAGAGGCGCTGGAAGCGTTGCTTTCTGTTGCAAAGAGATAATATGTCTTTGTAATATTTAAGCCTGTTTCGAGTATGATTTTGGCTGAGTATAAATTGCCTGAAATTACTTCGTTGCCATCGTTGTAAAGAACACTCTCGATAACTGGTGTGGGAACTGTGGAAGAATATGTAACATTACCGGTACCTAACTGGATTATGATTGGCGGCGAACTCAACAACAACAAGTAACTTTGTCTTATTATGATCCTCTGGAGCGTTAACTTTGAAAGTCCATTCTACTTGTTCGTATTTATATCCAGTGAAGATAGAATAGAAGTTTGGAGATGGTGTATAGAACTTTATACCTCGAACTGAAAAATCTTCTAACTTTGACAATAAGATATCCCAAGCATCTAACATCTTCCTTCCAACTTGTACAACTTTTATTTTCTTAAGTTTCTGTCTACATTCTTGTTCAGACACTATTGTTGCTCTTGGTTTGTTAAAGACAACATCCCATTCTTTCATGACATAACATTCTGGGGCAGAGTCAACATAAATGACTAAACGTTTCAAATTCTCGACTGCTTTGTTATAGTCTCGAAATGGACACATATTTCTGAATGCTTGGAAGTCATAAAAATCTGAAACATCTATTCTGTACATTTTTTTATAAAAATAAAAAAAAATATTTTTTTATTCTTGAGCTTGTTGTTCCATTTGTTCCATTTGTTGCATTTGTTGTTCTTGAGCTATTTGTTGTTGAAGTTGTTCTTGTAATACAATACTTTCACCAGTTGCATCTTCCAATTCGAAACTTTCTGCCGTCATTGACAAATACATAGGACATAAAAGTTTTACAGGAACAAAGTTTGCGTCAACTAAGGTTAAGTTTATGTTTGCTAAAGTGTTTGAGTTTACTAAAGCTGAAAACTCTGCATTCGAATGAACAATAGGCAAACCAGCAGAGAAAGTATTGTTTATACGCATAAGTATCTTTTGGTCATAATAGTTTCTGTCGACATTCGAATAACACTTTGAACCTAAGTTTGAAACAATATATAAGATTGGTGTGCTTAAAGTCAATGGAACAGACATTCCTTGTATGACACCTTTTCCTGTTATAGGAAACTGTTGGTAGTAAAAACCAGATATAAGTTTTGTATTATAACTCATATCGTTTATAGTAAACTCAGTCGGACATCCAAACATAATGAAACCTGCTCTAGTTGCAGCACATGTTACACCCGTCCTTAAAGTATTAAATAAGTCAACAAAACCTGTTGGTGGTATATCTGAGTAAGTATCTTCAAAGGAGTATTTTTTACCATTCACAACAATAAAGTCTTCTGGTGTCAAAAGAGCAAAACAGGCTTTAGTCGTCATTGTGTTTAAGGTTAGTTTACAATATCGTCCTTGAGGACTTTGTAAGTTTGTTGTTATAGAATTATATGACTCAGGGTTTTTAGTCGTAATAGTATAAACCATTATGTCTTCTGCCATTTACTTAGCAAATAAATTTTAATGAAATGTTGTGGTCGTCAAATATTTTTATAACGTCTGGGAAACTATATTTTAAGTTCAACGTTTCACCTCCTTTCATAACGTATATCTTGTCAATGACATTATATGAAACACCACAGCAACTAATGTCGGGTTCTATTTCTTTGATGTTTATATCGTCTGCCTCTGTCAAAAGTTTCAATAGTTCTTTCAAAACTTCATGAGGTGCAATGACATATGAGTTCACTTTTACAGGGTTGTGTTCGACCAAGTTTAACATTATACTTAAAGCTTGACAAATCTTCTCCTGAGTTTTAAGTTTGTCTTTCAGTTGTTGGTAGTCGTTTCGAATATCTGCAACAGAACTTAAGTCTCTGCTAACTTCAGGATATGTTGGTTGTTCTTTTACAGGAACTATTGTTATACCATCTTCGTCTTCGTATGGTTTCCCCACTTCAACATCTCTGTCTTTGACATTGACAACAACACTTTGACTGTTTGTTTGAGTTGGTGAATTTAACTTCACATCTGCCACCGCCATTAAACCTTTTGAAACACTTACACTTCTATTTTTCGGAAATGACATTTTACTTAGAATAAAAAGATGGACGTATTCAGATATCTCTTCGAATTGAAGCAAAACAAAGTTTACACACACAAACAATACAAATACATTGACAGAATAGTTCTTTACACAAACAATGGAAAATGTTATAGAATAGCAGTCTTTGCTGAACCTAAATATTTTCATAAAGCAAAGAAAGTTGGTATAACTGAAATGGTGAAAGTTCTTGAAGCAGACAAAAATATAACTTCAAAACTTACAGATATTTCTAAAGGAAAGTTTATAATACAATATTATGTCAAAACTGGCGTACTGTCAATATTTGACGGAGAGAAGTCAGTTCAAGAACAACTTACTGACCTGCTGCCAAAATCTGCTCGATGGAAGCTGTCGTTATGCCAATCTGAGGAGCCCCAGCAGGTTTCATCGAACGAATTTTCAAAAGAGCATCTTCCGTGAAAAGTGCTATTGGTTTTGTAAACTTCTTTGCTTTCAATTCATCTGGACCGTCTCTGTCACCAGTATATTGTATTTGAACTGTACCAACAGTTGAAATACCACCCATAAAGTCTTCTGAGTCAGCAAATGGAATGCCAAGCCAAAAGTTTGAACGGTCTCCATTTGTATATTGAGTTTTTTGACCTCCTGTATGGGTCCATACTTTCACATATGGCATAATAGAACTTTGCATTTCAGGGTTAATGGTTGTTGTGAAGTTGTTGTTAAAGTTCATAGCATCTAATGTCAAGTTGTATGACCTCATATCCTCAACTGTAGAATATTCTTCTCTTGGATAATATTTGCCATCTATGTTTATATGATATTTAATACCAGGGTTGTAGAAACAAGAATAGTCATTTATAGTTCGTCTGAAAAGAACAAACATAGTATCTGCATGTTTCATTGCAGTTGTTAAGGCAATATCTGTTCTTGCACCTGGGTCAGCACTTTGGTTTCCAACTTCACCTGCAAAGTCTTTGACAGATATTTGGTGTATAGGGAACATAAGTGGAACTGCAATATATTTGGCAGCTAAAGCATTTGAAATATCTGGGTCCAACATATAGACTGCAAGTCTGCTTTCTATTCTCTTGCATTCAAATTTTTCGCATGTGAACTTAACTGGGTCCCAAGCATCTCCAGCAGCATTGAAATAATAGTTTACTTCAGTGTTGAGGTTTGAGAAACCAAAGTCTAAGTCAACTTTGTCTTTGCAAAATTCGGCGAATGACGTTTTATTTGTTCCCTTTACGTCTGTAAGAGTGAATGGGTCTTGTGTTGGTGCAATGACTAAGTTATTTTTGCTTGGAGTAAGTTCGATAGAAATTTTTCCTGCCCAGTTTGGCAAGTATCTTAAAAACCTGAAGATGAGGAAAGATGACAAAGGAACTCTAAGTTTCAGTTTTACTTTAGTGGCAGCAGTTCCATCTGAACCAGAAAGGTTAACATAAACTCCTGGAACGTTAGGGTCAAGTCTTCTTATTTTCTCAATAGTTGCATACTGGTCTGTTTGTTCTCTAGCTTGTGGTTGTACTGAGTTTCTTAAAGCGAACCATTCATAGTTTGCCCATGTTACTGTTTGAACTAAGTCAGAGTTAGAATATATCTTATATCCCATGAAAACTTCTGGAGCATATTGGTATCCGACATAGAAAATTCCATTGCAACCTTTCTTTTCAGACAACTTGGCAGAAGGTTTTATTTCAATGTCTTGTTCCACGTATAAGAAAGAGTTGTCAATAGAAATAATATGAAACCTGTCGCAAGCAATATCTACTGTTGTTGAAGAACCTTCTCCAAACTCACCTACGTTTCCATAAGAAACAGCAGTTGTATATTCGTAAGTTCCAGGAACTATTTCTGACCTTCTAATGGCATTGTCGCATTCGTTATACCATTCGGAAACATTTCCATTCATGGCATCCAAAACTGTTGGCGTTATATTCTGAGCGGCGTACATTTCATATGGGTAAAAATATAGAATAGTTGGATTTATATGTCATAATAGAACCCACTCGGACCAAGCTTTACTTTCTTCCTGACTGAGTTTTTAACTCTTCTTTTTCCTTCATTGCCACTACTTTCACTAGATGAAGTTACTTCTTCACTACTTTCACTTTGTTCTACTCTTCTCTTCTTCTTTGGTGTCGCTTTTGGTAACTTGCCCTCTGCTTCAAGTTGTTGCATCTTTGCCTCATGTTCACCTAGTATGTTGTAAATTTCCCATGTCCTTTTTGCCTTTGGGCTCTGGTCGCCCATCTCAGGTAACCTATATCCTAGAAAGATTTTGTCATAGTTTGTATTTGAGTCTTCGCGTATTGTTTGCATGACTCTTTCCTGAGTTTCCGGTTCAAGCTCTTCAAACAGAGCTTGTCCATATGGAATAAGCTCGTTTCCAAATATATGTTTTTGTAGCCATTCTGGTTTTCTTTCCATGTTACCAATAATATCTTTTGTGAATGGGAAAGCTTTTACCCAATGTTTCAGTCTTTCGTCATTTATTTCTGTAGTTGGTTTTATTTTGTCAAGGAACATGTTTTTCAATACTAACATTTCATTTGGTACTGTCCATTTGAGTTTTCTTAAATATTCATCCCTTCTCGGTTCATTGTCTGCAAAGTAAGTTTTTATGACATTTTGTAAACTTTCGTTTGCAAGGTCATGTACAATAGGTTCTCTTCCTTCTCTCTCCCTAACTGTCTTTCTAAACTCTTCACCAAATATACCATCTCTATGGTTCTGTGTAGTTCTTTGAGATAAATGTTTTAGAACGTCAGGTGTTATATTTCCATCAGCCATGTTCATTTCATACTGGTTCAAAATATCTGCATCTTTCATATCTTTCAATGGCATTAAAGCCGCGCTGAAAATACCAGCTATATCTGGTTCACCATTCACTTCCATTGCGTCTACAACTTCTTGGAATTGTGGTTGTAAGTTTATGAACCACCTATCCGGATTAGCTTTATGACCCCATCTCATTGTAGTTCCATAGTCTGCAGAAACAAAAGTAGGTTTGTTTCCATATTGGTTAGGTTCTGAATGAACTTTAAACAATGTTTCATTTCTATATGTTTTGTTGAAATTTAACCTTTTATTTTCACCGAGTTCAGCCAAAGATTGAACGTTATATGGTCGTAAGTAAAAAGGATTGTTGTATTTGCGTACATTATCTTTCAGTACTTCCATTCTATGCTGAATATTTTCATCTGATGTTGGAGTCTTTTGTATGTCGGCAAACATTTTTCGATATTCTTCTACTATGTCAGCCGAATTTTTTTTAGACTCTTGGAAAGATTCCATATTCACCTCATACTCTTGTTGAGGGTCAAGATTTTTCGGCTGTTCCAAATCTTCATCTAGTTCTGTGAGGTTAGTTTCCAAAGGAGGGACTTGTTCGTTTCCTTCAGGCTCTTCTAGCTGTTGTTGCTGAACTATTTCTTCCATGTCTGGTTGTATCTGAACTTCTTCCTGTTGAGTTTCTTGTACCTCATCTGCTGGCATTTCATATATTCCGAGACCGTTTTTAAAAAGTTCCCTATCTAAGTCATCCGGACTCATAAACCTTTCTTCTTTCGTTCCGTCTCTATTTTTTACGCGTTTCATGAAGAGAGTTGAATTGTCATTTAGCTCTGACACCAAATATCTCGGAGTAAATTCGTTCATGTCATTTGGATGATATGCTATTAAATCATATCCCTTAGCGAGCTTGTATTTTCCAGGTTTGAAATTATATCCCATTTGGTGCTGAACCATAAAGCTAAATAGGTTCGGGTCTGTATTTCCTTCCTTGAACTTTCTAATAGCTTCTTTATATCTGTCACTAAAGTCAAGAGTATCTGGGTAACCATATTCTTCCTTAAGCATTTTTAAGAAATCTTGGTTTCCTTGTTCTCTACTTCTTTTATGTCCTTGCTCTGTTTGTGGTTGTTGTGCTGGTTGTGGAGGTGGTTGTTGTGCAGGGTTTTGAACTGTTGGTTGCTGTGCTGGTTGTGGAGGTGGTTGTTGTGCAGGGTTTTGAACTGTTGGTTGCTGTGCTGGTTGTGGAGGTGGTTGTTGTGCTGGTTGTTGTTGTTGTTGTGGTGCTGGATTTTGAACTGTTGGTTGTTGTGTTGGTTTTGGTGCATGCCTGTGTCTGTGTCCATGTGACGATGTAAATGTTTTAGGTAGTCCTGGTGCAGGTGCTTCTCTTGGAGGGTTTGGTGGTATATAAGTTCCACTAGCTAGTATATAAGTTCCACCAGCTGGTATATAAGTTCCACCAGCTGGCACATATGTTCCATCTGCAGCATAATGTCCTACCTGACTTTTCGTTCTTAAGAAAGCATTTACTAGGTCTCTTTTGGTCTGTTGTAACTCTTTTTCTTGACTTTCCACAACAGCTGTTCTAACGGCGTCATGGGCACTTTGAACTGCCTGTCTCGTTGCTGCATCTGTTATTTTCGTCATATTTTGTGCTACTTCTTTTAACTCTTTGTCGAAACCTTCAGACTTCAGTTTCTTTCCAGATGAGAAGTCGTTCACTAGTTTCACCTTACTATGAAGAGCTTCGAAGGCGTTCTTAAAGTCAGCATTCGTTAAAGCTTCATTTGAACTGTCTTCATCCGCTTGTATTTTTGTCCTTATTGACCCTATAAGTTGGGCTGCTTTAGCGTTGGCTTGGGCGTCTAACCAGTCATTATTAGCTTTTATATATTCTGCGCTTTTCATTGCCTTTTGCATGGCTGCGTCGTTATTTTTACTTTCTTGTGCTAAGTTTTCATACTGTACGGTTTGGTTTTGCAACTGTAAAAGTTTTTCTGCCTTTACATTTGCTTCAACTTCTTTTTTATACTCATCGCTATCCATATATGTCTTCAGGGCTTTTTGTTTTATTTCTTCATCTTTCAGTACTTTATATTGAGTAGTATGGTTTTTCAAATTTATAACATCTTGTTCCATTTTTGCTACTTCTGCTGCTTTTTCTGACACTTTTTTCGCATATTCCTCTGTACTTAGTTCTTTCAGTTGTTCTTCTTTCTTCTTTTTCTCTACGTTTAACTCATTGAGTTTCTTTGTGTGTCTGTCATATTCTAGTTTCTTTTCGTTTTCACTTATTTGTTTCTGTATGTCTATGTTTGACTTTTTGACATCTGTTATTTGATTTTTGAGTGAACTCAAATTCATTTGACTTTGAGGGTTATAAGCTGTTCCGTCTGCAGCTCCACCATAGCCTGCCATTTTCGCTAAAAGTGCCGCTCTTAAACCTCCACTCTGTGCACCAATAACTCGGTTTAAAAGCATAGGGTTGCTTGACATTTGTTGCAACATAGTGGGGTCATTCAGCATTTGTTGTTGCAACTGTTGTTGTGGTGTCAGTTTTACTATTGGATGTTTCAATGCTCCCTTCCTCTTACGTATATTCTTACGTAGCTTACGTGGCATTTTAAGTGAAGTTAAAAAGCGGTTTTATACTAAACATCTTCGGGGCTAGAGGGCGCAACGCGCCTGGAAGCCCCACTACCTTTTTTTTTTCAAGTAGATGTGATTTGATTCTGTACAACTAAATATTAATATATTTAAAACATTGTAGAATTAAAATTTTTGACGATATCAATTTATAAAAAAAATGCAAGCGAATCCTTTTAATAAAGCTAAGATACGATTTGCTTCACTTTGTCCACCTAGTAAAGTGTTCAACACAGGGAGCATGGACTGGGAAGCATGTGGGCTACTTGCATTAGCCGGTAAAGGCACAATTTATCTCTATAAAACTACTAAAAATGATATTTCTTTCTTATGATCCATTGAAATTCTAAATTCTAACATAACTTGCCTTAAATTCCACTATGAGCTACCTTATCTTGCAATTTCAGACGATTGCGGAAGAGTTTTGTTATGGGATTGTGAATCAGGTCTTACACTCGGAATCACTCGTCAAGTATCTGAAGCTCAGTATGTATCGGAGCTTCAATGGTCCCGTAAAATCGTTTTAGGCTTTGCAGAACCAAATACAATTTATAGTATCGATTTTTGGCCGTATGAAGCTGAAGATCAAGCGAAAAACTCACGAATACTTTGGAAGATAGATGTTCCTGGTACATATACAAGGATGGCTGTTAATAGTTCAGATATATTCACTGCAATTCTATATTCTAATGGTCCATCCTTTACAATTATCACGTCAAAGAATGCCAAGCAGGCTCCAACATCTCAATCTCAATCCCATACTTTAGATAAATCAGAAAAAATCGTAGAAATTCAACATCATCCCCATATTAGTAATATTTTATTAATTATGCTTGAAGGAAAAATACTTACGTTTAACATAGCGACCAAATCTGGCCGAAATCTTGTAATCGATGAATCATCCCAATCATCTTTCCATAAACTGCTTCCTTCTTTAACAAATGACAACGAAATTACAGTTTATGGTCAAGACTCGTCACTCAGTATCTATATCTGTAACGAAGACTACATTTTACAAAATCAGAACAATAAAATGAAAAGAGAGCTGTTCTTAAAAATCGAAGTATTTACACTATCCGCTGCATGTAACCGTGCACTTCCCGAGCGATACATCCGGCTTCTCTCCATCAAATGGCTTAGTTATGTTTGCCATAAAAGATATATACCTTACGTCATCGCGCAGTCTCAAATTATACCACAGATACCAACCTGTTACGATTTCTACGAAATCCTTGCTTCGGCACTCCAACCGGAAAGATAATTTCGCAGACGTTTCAGAAGAAATACACACAGAACTTACCTTGCATCCAGCACATCCATTGAAAAGATCAAGTTCCTACCAAAGATGTCCTTCTTGGTACTCAAAAACCGAGTGTGGATCAATAAATCTCCCAAGCGCCAAGTTTCCAATCCACACTCGCCTTGGCCCTGCCACAGACCTAATATGTTCAGAGGAGCTCGGCGTTTTCGTCCACGGGCAAATACGACCTTGGTATTTTTATGATGTCAAACAAAAGCGATGACTCTTCAAACATCCATCACCGCTGTTGCAGTCCAAGTATCCAGAATACCAGCAACATGTTTCCAAGCGATACTCCCAATTTCGCCGTATTATTATCTACCGGAGAAATCCAAGTCTACACATACAAGAACGGCATAGCACAGATGCCTGTTCTGAGCTGCGTAACTCACGGAGAACTCCAGACAACTTGTCTTGCTTGGAAAGGCGATTGCATCATAACTGCTGACACAGACGGCGTAATTATGTTTACGACTTTGCTTTCGGTACATCGAAGCAAACATACTCTCCTTTCATCGACATAGACAGGATAGAGTTCGAGAGATCATCCAGCGATTGTACGTACACGCGAGAGACGGAAAATTGGTTTTTCACTTGAAAAAGTGGAAAGTTGTCCTTTTCTGTTTCCTCATTCGCGTAACAGGAAATGGACTCGTCCTCGTCTCCCCGCTCAATGACGAAGCCGTGAAATTCGTTATTGCAAGAGACTGGAGATCTGTAAAAAATCACTTCACCTGCCTCTAAAACCGCTAAAAACCGCCCAGCAACGGTTAGAGCTTATGTGAGCAATTATTAACGAATCCTACTACAGGAACATGGTCAGAACACTTCAAATAGCTGAGATAGCTAATGACCATGGATTTCCAACTGATTCCATTATTGGAAGTGTGTTTCACGTAGTTTGGGAGGTCCGAGGTGCAAGCACGGCATTCCATGTTTGGAGGAAAGAAGAAGTTGTTTCCGCGTTGAGATTCAATCTCTCTGTTTCTCCTGCAGATACTCCGATTTCTGCCATTTTCAACTTGTTGTTCAAGTTCAGAATGGTGATAGAAGAGGAGCTGTCGAAGTTTTCAAGAGTCTCTCCAACAAAAGCGAGTTCACAATAGTGGCAAGCATTTGTTCGGCGTTGCTTCTCGGTTACGAAGATAAAATTTCCACAAAACGTGACAGAATTTTTGATAACAACCGCTGTTCCACTTTTTGCACAGCACAGATTTATAGAAGGCTGTATATTGATGCATTTAGCTGCGCTAATCTTTCTGCCGCAAGATATCTTCAGGACAACGGAAGATGGGAAGATTCTGTCGAAGTCTGCAAATTGGAAGAGTTTTCGAATGAGTCGAAGAGTTTGTTGAGAAGAGCCGCCCACCACTTCTTGGATACTGAAATGCAATGAACGCTTTGTTGCTGTTCATATCAATAAGAGATTTCCATCCTGCTTTGGCAATTTGATGCAGATAAAATACAAAGCTCTCGCGTTTCATTTGATGATGTTCTTGGATAGGCTGATGTAATTAAGCCGTACGACGAAGACACTTCGAGATACGCAACACAGTTTGCGGATTTGGATACTTTGAGACAGGATATAATTGTCAAATATCAAAATAATTAAGAAATAATTTTATTTATATTTATTCTTTATTATAAAAAAAAGTCGAAAAAAAATGAAATTGTTTATATCGCATTTTCAATGATCTTTCAAGCCAGTTGTCAGATAGAAAAAAATTACGCATTTAACAAAGTTAAAGGGGAAAAGCATCCTGAAATTACGAAACATTTTAAAAAAAAAAAAAAAAAAATAAAGTGGGAAAGTCTGGAAATGATATGCTAGTATTGTTTTTCAAAACTCAGCTTTCTAATGGAGCTATCACTTGTTACGTAAACTATATATATCGAATCAAAAGTTTGCCATGTTGTAATTTGATTTACAAGCATGATTTAATTAAAAAATAAAGGGTTTAAAATATAAAATAAAATATTTATCAAAGAAAAAAAGTTAAACTAAAAAATAAAAAATAAATATTATATTAATATAAAGAGGTAGCAGTTTGACCAGCTGGATCTGTGATAGAAACTGTAATTTTAACCGTTGAGTCTTCAGAAATCTTTGAAGGAGCTGCAATTTGGAAAATTGTTTTCACTTTAGGAGAATATAATTTCTCTTAAAATATACAAAAATAGTAATATCAATACATGTGTATAATATATAGGGTGTCCAAAGGTGCGTTTAGCACAGCGCTCTATATGAGACTATTAAAGGAGATATATGCTGATTATAAATATATAATAAAAAATATGAATATATGTATATGATGAGTATGATTTTGGCGCCATGCCGGATATAAAATGAATTTTGAGACAAGAGGCGGTTTCGCGGGAAATTTTGGCGGGATTTTTTTCATTTTTTTAATGAATCATAAAGAAAACATCCTCGCTCTTGCAAAAAATGCAAAGACTGTAAAAAATCTACGAGACATTGGTAAAATGCTTCGGTATGGATGCTCCTAGCTATTCCACTGTAACGTATCATGTTAGGATGTATCACTTCATGAACAAAAAGGCGCCCATCATAAAAATTGACAAAAAAATCGCCGGATCAAAGAAAAATCAAAGCAATTCTTCAAGCGCTAGATGAAGACCCAAGAGCATCACTTAGAAGGATAGAGGAGATGACAAAGATACCACGTACAACAGTCAGTTATTATCTGCACAATTATTTGAACTACAAACTAGCGTATACACGTTGGGTTCCGCACAACCTTAATTCAGTTCAAAAAAAATCTAGAGTCCAATCTTCGAAAGAGCTCCTCTCTATATTGGGTGCGTATCAATCCAAGAAGTTTCGCTTTTTAGTAACAGGGACGAGTCTTGGTTTCAATATGCAACAGAAGCCAAAATCATATGATCCCGAAGGATGAAAATGTTGTAAACGAAAACGATAAAAACGGTTTGACAGTAAAGTGACACTTTACATGGCAAAAAATAGAGCCTTACTTTTGAGATACTTGAGATTGAAACTGAATCTTATGAGGCGGTGATCTTGAATCACTACCTCATAAGGTTCAGTTTCATATAAAATTTGTTGCAATTTGTTATTCTTTTGCAATCATTTCTTATAAGATTTTACATCTTTTAGCGGAGAAGTTTGTTATCATGTATATATTATAAATATCTACACGATAACGAACATTCCTCGCTAAATTGCTGAGAAACTTTGAGGAAATGTCGAACAATTTCCTCAAAGTTTCTCAGATTTATATAGATCACTAGAGTCCCCTAGGCACTGATTCTGGTTCAGTACCTAGGAGGCTCTAGTTCTTTAACGAACTGATAAAAGTTTTTAAATTTTTGGATATTGCTACCTGTGAAGCACTGACTTCAAGTCAGTACCTCACAGGTAGCAATTACATTGAAAGATGGAGAAACTTTGTCCGAATGTTAAACTATTCGGACAAAGTTTCTCCCATTTGTAGTGGAGATGGAAGCTTTGAGGTATATTGTATTAATATATACCCCAAAGCCTTCCATCTCCACTTGAAAGTGTCCAAACTTTGGGTTAATAGTTTGCAATTAACCCAAAGTTTGGACACTTTCTAAGAAGGAATTGGAGGCTATGAGATACTGATGAAATTCAGTAACTCATGGCTTCCAATTCCTTCCTAAAACTCATAAAAGTGGACATTACATGCATATAAAATTTGACATGTAAAGTCCACTTTTTGCGAGCGGGATTTGACTCCGTCAAATCCCCTTTTTCGTTTACGAGAAAAATCCGCAAACATTCCCGAAGAAAAAAATTGACACACCAATGATGATGTTGTCGGTTTTTTGGGGCGTAAATGACATCATCGCAATTGATATTCTTCAAAAACCTAATACGATGAATGCTCAGTATCTAATTGACAATGTTCTTACTCAAATTATCAATTCTGATGAGTTTGAGAAATCCAAACAACAAAAACAAAAGTTTGCAATTCATTTTGATAATTCAAGAGTTCACAAAAGTCATAAGGTAATGAATTACTTGGTGGAAAACAATGTCAAAGTTGTTCCAAACCCAATTTATTCACCTGATATTGCACCCTCTGACTTTTATTTATTCGGCACGCTAAAAAAGAGAGCTGAAGGACGCGAATTCGCGAGTCCAGATGATCTTGAAAATTTTGTAAGAGAGCAATTTGAGCAATTTTCTCATGATGATTTAAAGCGTGTCTTTCAAGCCTGGATCGATCGCTGCGAACGCGTGATTGAATCCAATGGTGATTATATTTAAATAAACTTTATATATATGTAACTTGTTTATTTCTATTCGCAGTATTCAGGTTTGTGCTAAACACACCTTTGGACACCCTATACTTTAAAACCATCGTGACAAAATTCAAAAACGAAGAGTTCTTCTCTCCAAATTTTTTTCAAAATCAAAAAAATGAGATAAAAAAGTACGTTTGGAAAATTCATTTTTAGCATTTTAGGAATTTTCTCACTTTTCTTCCAAATTGACATCCTTAATTAAATTAAATTACACATTAACACCGGAGCCGGAATCATCTTGGATATCAGATGATGATTTATCTTTAGATGGTTTCCTGCAGAAAACGAAGTAGATGATGAGAATAATAAGGATAACAGCAAGAAGAACGCCAATAACAATACCAGCCTTCTGTCCACCAGTAAGTCCACTATTTTCAGGTGTTGGAGTTGGCTTGGAATCATCAGGGCTTGGTGCAACGTATTGTTGTTTCTGAAGTGAAACCTCTGTTTCAATGATATTGGATTGAGCTTGATCTTTGGATCCAGCTAACCTAATTTGAAGTTTAACTTTCCCATCTTCTTTGATATCTTCATACTTTGGAGCTGGAATGTTGAGTAGATATGTTTTGCCTTCGTCGGCATGTAATTTCTTAATTGCAGATGGGGTTTCTACTTCAGTTACATTGTCGTCTGGGAGATCTATCCATTTCTGATCTGCATAGAATCTATATTGGAAGTTTCCTGTCTTTGCCTCAAAGTGTTGTAATGTAACTTTAACTGGAATATATTCACCGGCCTTGAATGGTCCTGTATGATTTTCAGCAACAACAGTTGGCGCAGATAAATATGGAGACTTCCAAGAGAATATGTAACATTGCCGGTACCTAACTCGGATGTATGATTGGCGGCGAACTCAACAACAACAAGTAACTTTGTCTTATTATGATCCTCTGGAGCGTTAACTTTGAAAGTCCATTCTGTCTTGTTCGTGCTTGCTACGGCTGTTGCAGTGCTAACATTTTGTGATGTTTTGACGCTAGTGACAGAGGCGCTGGAAGCGTTGCTTTCTGTTGCAAAGAGATAATATGTCTTTGTAATTGTTAAGTTACTTTTGAGTATGATTTTGGCTGAGTATAAATTGCCTGAAATTACTTCGTTGCCATCGTTGTAAAGAACTCTATCGATAACTGGTGTGGAGAGTGTGTCAGAATATGTAACATTGCCGGTACCTAACTCGGATGTATGATTGGCGGCGAACTCAACAACAACAAGTAACTTTGTCTTATTATGATCCTCTGGAGCGTTAACTTTGAAAGTCCATTCTGTCTTGTTCGTGCTTGCTACGGCTGTTGCAGTGCTAACATTTTGTGATGTTTTGACGCTAGTGACAGAGGCGCTGGAAGTGTTGCTTTCTGTTGCAAAGAGATAATATGTCTTTGTAATTGTTAAGTTACTTTTGAGTATGATTTTGGCTGAGTATAAATTGCCTGAAATTACTTCGTTGCCATCGTTGTAAAGAACTCTATCGATAACTGGTGTGGAGAGTGTGTCAGAATATGTAACATTGCCGGTACCTAACTCGGATGTATGATTGGCGGCGAACTCAACAACAACAAGTAACTTTGTCTTATTATGATCCTCTGGAGCGTTAACTTTGAAAGTCCATTCTGTCTTGTTCGTGCTTGCTACGGCTGTTGCAGTGCTAACATTTTGTGATGTTTTGACGCTAGTGACAGAGGCGCTGGAAGCGTTGCTTTCTGTTGCAAAGAGATAATATGTCTTTGTAATTGTTAAGTTACTTTTGAGTATGATTTTGGCTGAGTATAAATTGCCTGAAATTACTTCGTTGCCATCGTTGTAAAGAACTCTATCGATAACTGGTGTGGAGAGTGTGTCAGAATATGTAACATTGCCGGTACCTAACTCGGATGTATGATTGGCGGCGAACTCAACAACAACAAGTAACTTTGTCTTATTATGATCCTCTGGAGCGTTAACTTTGAAAGTCCATTCTGTCTTGTTCGTGCTTGCTACGGCTGTTGCAGTGCTAACATTTTGTGATGTTTTGACGCTAGTGACAGAGGCGCTGGAAGCGTTGCTTTCTGTTGCAAAGAGATAATATGTCTTTGTAATTGTTAAGTTACTTTTGAGTATGATTTTGGCTGAGTATAAATTGCCTGAAATTACTTCGTTGCCATCGTTGTAAAGAACTCTATCGATAACTGGTGTGGAGAGTGTGTCAGAATATGTAACATTGCCGGTACCTAACTCGGATGTATGATTGGCGGCGAACTCAACAACAACAAGTAACTTTGTCTTATTATGATCCTCTGGAGCGTTAACTTTGAAAGTCCATTCTACTTGTTCGTATTTATATCCAGTGAAGATAGAATAGAAGTTTGGAGATGGTGTATAGAACTTTATACCTCGAACTGAAAAATCTTCTAACTTTGACAATAAGATATCCCAAGCATCTAACATCTTCCTTCCAACTTGTACAACTTTTATTTTCTTAAGTTTCTGTCTACATTCTTGTTCAGACACTATTGTTGCTCTTGGTTTGTTAAAGACAACATCCCATTCTTTCATGACATAACATTCTGGGGCAGAGTCAACATAAATGACTAAACGTTTCAAATTCTCGACTGCTTTGTTATAGTCTCGAAATGGACACATATTTCTGAATGCTTGGAAGTCATAAAAATCTGAAACATCTATTCTGTACATTTTTTTATAAAAATAAAAAAAATATTTTTTTATTCTTGAGCTTGTTGTTCCATTTGTTCCATTTGTTGCATTTGTTGTTCTTGAGCTATTTGTTGTTGAAGTTGTTCTTGTAATACAATACTTTCACCAGTTGCATCTTCCAATTCGAAACTTTCTGCCGTCATTGACAAATACATAGGACATAAAAGTTTTACAGGAACAAAGTTTGCGTCAACTAAGGTTAAGTTTATGTTTGCTAAAGTGTTTGAGTTTACTAAAGCTGAAAACTCTGCATTCGAATGAACAATAGGCAAACCAGCAGAGAAAGTATTGTTTATACGCATAAGTATCTTTTGGTCATAATAGTTTCTGTCGACATTCGAATAACACTTTGAACCTAAGTTTGAAACAATATATAAGATTGGTGTGCTTAAAGTCAATGGAACAGACATTCCTTGTATGACACCTTTTCCTGTTATAGGAAACTGTTGGTAGTAAAAACCAGATATAAGTTTTGTATTATAACTCATATCGTTTATAGTAAACTCAGTCGGACATTCAAACATAATGAAACCTGCTCTAGTTGCAGCACATGTTACACCCGTCCTTAAAGTATTAAATAAGTCAACAAAACCTGTTGGTGGTATATCTGAGTAAGTATCTTCAAAGGAGTATTTTTTACCATTCACAACAATAAAGTCTTCTGGTGTCAAAAGAGCAAAACAGGCTTTAGTCGTCATTGTGTTTAAGGTTAGTTTACAATATCGTCCTTGAGGACTTTGTAAGTTTGTTGTTATAGAATTATATGACTCAGGGTTTTTAGTCGTAATAGTATAAACCATTATGTCTTCTGCCATTTACTTAGCAAATAAATTTTAATGAAATGTTGTGGTCGTCAAATATTTTTATAACGTCTGGGAAACTATATTTTAAGTTCAACGTTTCACCTCCTTTCATAACGTATATCTTGTCAATGACATTATATGAAACACCACAGCAACTAATGTCGGGTTCTATTTCTTTGATGTTTATATCGTCTGCCTCTGTCAAAAGTTTCAATAGTTCTTTCAAAACTTCATGAGGTGCAATGACATATGAGTTCACTTTTACAGGGTTGTGTTCGACCAAGTTTAACATTATACTTAAAGCTTGACAAATCTTCTCCTGAGTTTTAAGTTTGTCTTTCAGTTGTTGGTAGTCGTTTCGAATATCTGCAACAGAACTTAAGTCTCTGCTAACTTCAGGATATGTTGGTTGTTCTTTTACAGGAACTATTGTTATACCATCTTCGTCTTCGTATGGTTTCCCCACTTCAACATCTCTGTCTTTGACATTGACAACAACACTTTGACTGTTTGTTTGAGTTGGTGAATTTAACTTCACATCTGCCACCGCCATTAAACCTTTTGAAACACTTACACTTCTATTTTTCGGAAATGACATTTTACTTAGAATAAAAAGATGGACGTATTCAGATATCTCTTCGAATTGAAGCAAAACAAAGTTTACACACACAAACAATACAAATACATTGACAGAATAGTTCTTTACACAAACAATGGAAAATGTTATAGAATAGCAGTCTTTGCTGAACCTAAATATTTTCATAAAGCAAAGAAAGTTGGTATAACTGAAATGGTGAAAGTTCTTGAAGCAGACAAAAATATAACTTCAAAACTTACAGATATTTCTAAAGGAAAGTTTATAATACAATATTATGTCAAAACTGGCGTACTGTCAATATTTGACGGAGAGAAGTCAGTTCAAGAACAACTTACTGACCTGCTGCCAAAATCTGCTCGATGGAAGCTGTCGTTATGCCAATCTGAGGAGCCCCAGCAGGTTTCATCGAACGAATTTTCAAAAGAGCATCTTCCGTGAAAAGTGCTATTGGTTTTGTAAACTTCTTTGCTTTCAATTCATCTGGACCGTCTCTGTCACCAGTATATTGTATTTGAACTGTACCAACAGTTGAAATACCACCCATAAAGTCTTCTGAGTCAGCAAATGGAATGCCAAGCCAAAAGTTTGAACGGTCTCCATTTGTATATTGAGTTTTTTGACCTCCTGTATGGGTCCATACTTTCACATATGGCATAATAGAACTTTGCATTTCAGGGTTAATGGTTGTTGTGAAGTTGTTGTTAAAGTTCATAGCATCTAATGTCAAGTTGTATGACCTCATATCCTCAACTGTAGAATATTCTTCTCTTGGATAATATTTGCCATCTATGTTTATATGATATTTAATACCAGGGTTGTAGAAACAAGAATAGTCATTTATAGTTCGTCTGAAAAGAACAAACATAGTATCTGCATGTTTCATTGCAGTTGTTAAGGCAATATCTGTTCTTGCACCTGGGTCAGCACTTTGGTTTCCAACTTCACCTGCAAAGTCTTTGACAGATATTTGGTGTATAGGGAACATAAGTGGAACTGCAATATATTTGGCAGCTAAAGCATTTGAAATATCTGGGTCCAACATATAGACTGCAAGTCTGCTTTCTATTCTCTTGCATTCAAATTTTTCGCATGTGAAACTTAACTGGGTCCCAAGCATCTCCAGCAGCATTGAAATAATAGTTTACTTCAGTGTTGAGGTTTGAGAAACCAAAGTCTAAGTCAACTTTGTCTTTGCAAAATTCGGCGAATGACGTTTTATTTGTTCCCTTTACGTCTGTAAGAGTGAATGGGTCTTGTGTTGGTGCAATGACTAAGTTATTTTTGCTTGGAGTAAGTTCGATAGAAATTTTTCCTGCCCAGTTTGGCAAGTATCTTAAAAACCTGAAGATGAGGAAAGATGACAAAGGAACTCTAAGTTTCAGTTTTACTTTAGTGGCAGCAGTTCCATCTGAACCAGAAAGGTTAACATAAACTCCTGGAACGTTAGGGTCAAGTCTTCTTATTTTCTCAATAGTTGCATACTGGTCTGTTTGTTCTCTAGCTTGTGGTTGTACTGAGTTTCTTAAAGCGAACCATTCATAGTTTGCCCATGTTACTGTTTGAACTAAGTCAGAGTTAGAATATATCTTATATCCCATGAAAACTTCTGGAGCATATTGGTATCCGACATAGAAAATTCCATTGCAACCTTTCTTTTCAGACAACTTGGCAGAAGGTTTTATTTCAATGTCTTGTTCCACGTATAAGAAAGAGTTGTCAATAGAAATAATATGAAACCTGTCGCAAGCAATATCTACTGTTGTTGAAGAACCTTCTCCAAACTCACCTACGTTTCCATAAGAAACAGCAGTTGTATATTCGTAAGTTCCAGGAACTATTTCTGACCTTCTAATGGCATTGTCGCATTCGTTATACCATTCGGAAACATTTCCATTCATGGCATCCAAAACTGTTGGCGTTATATTCTGAGCGGCGTACATTTCATATGGGTAAAAATATAGAATAGTTGGATTTATATGTCATAATAGAACCCACTCGGACCAAGCTTTACTTTCTTCCTGACTGAGTTTTTAACTCTTCTTTTTCCTTCATTGCCACTACTTTCACTAGATGAAGTTACTTCTTCACTACTTTCACTTTGTTCTACTCTTCTCTTCTTCTTGGTGTCGCTTTTGGTAACTTGCCCTCTGCTTCAAGTTGTTGCATCTTTGCCTCATGTTCACCTAGTATGTTGTAAATTTCCCATGTCCTTTTTGCCTTTGGGCTCTGGTCGCCCATCTCAGGTAACCTATATCCTAGAAAGATTTTGTCATAGTTTGTATTTGAGTCTTCGCGTATTGTTTGCATGACTCTTTCCTGAGTTTCCGGTTCAAGCTCTTCAAACAGAGCTTGTCCATATGGAATAAGCTCGTTTCCAAATATATGTTTTTGTAGCCATTCTGGTTTTCTTTCCATGTTACCAATAATATCTTTTGTGAATGGGAAAGCTTTTACCCAATGTTTCAGTCTTTCGTCATTTATTTCTGTAGTTGGTTTTATTTTGTCAAGGAACATGTTTTTCAATACTAACATTTCATTTGGTACTGTCCATTTGAGTTTTCTTAAATATTCATCCCTTCTCGGTTCATTGTCTGCAAAGTAAGTTTTTATGACATTTTGTAAACTTTCGTTTGCAAGGTCATGTACAATAGGTTCTCTTCCTTCTCTCTCCCTAACTGTCTTTCTAAACTCTTCACCAAATATACCATCTCTATGGTTCTGTGTAGTTCTTTGAGATAAATGTTTTAGAACGTCAGGTGTTATATTTCCATCAGCCATGTTCATTTCATACTGGTTCAAAATATCTGCATCTTTCATATCTTTCAATGGCATTAAAGCCGCGCTGAAAATACCAGCTATATCTGGTTCACCATTCACTTCCATTGCGTCTACAACTTCTTGGAATTGTGGTTGTAAGTTTATGAACCACCTATCCGGATTAGCTTTATGACCCCATCTCATTGTAGTTCCATAGTCTGCAGAAACAAAAGTAGGTTTGTTTCCATATTGGTTAGGTTCTGAATGAACTTTAAACAATGTTTCATTTCTATATGTTTTGTTGAAATTTAACCTTTTATTTTCACCGAGTTCAGCCAAAGATTGAACGTTATATGGTCGTAAGTAAAAAGGATTGTTGTATTTGCGTACATTATCTTTCAGTACTTCCATTCTATGCTGAATATTTTCATCTGATGTTGGAGTCTTTTGTATGTCGGCAAACATTTTTCGATATTCTTCTACTATGTCAGCCGAATTTTTTTTAGACTCTTGGAAAGATTCCATATTCACCTCATACTCTTGTTGAGGGTCAAGATTTTTCGGCTGTTCCAAATCTTCATCTAGTTCTGTGAGGTTAGTTTCCAAAGGAGGGACTTGTTCGTTTCCTTCAGGCTCTTCTAGCTGTTGTTGCTGAACTATTTCTTCCATGTCTGGTTGTATCTGAACTTCTTCCTGTTGAGTTTCTTGTACCTCATCTGCTGGCATTTCATATATTCCGAGACCGTTTTTAAAAAGTTCCCTATCTAAGTCATCCGGACTCATAAACCTTTCTTCTTTCGTTCCGTCTCTATTTTTTACGCGTTTCATGAAGAGAGTTGAATTGTCATTTAGCTCTGACACCAAATATCTCGGAGTAAATTCGTTCATGTCATTTGGATGATATGCTATTAAATCATATCCCTTAGCGAGCTTGTATTTTCCAGGTTTGAAATTATATCCCATTTGGTGCTGAACCATAAAGCTAAATAGGTTCGGGTCTGTATTTCCTTCCTTGAACTTTCTAATAGCTTCTTTATATCTGTCACTAAAGTCAAGAGTATCTGGGTAACCATATTCTTCCTTAAGCATTTTTAAGAAATCTTGGTTTCCTTGTTCTCTACTTCTTTTATGTCCTTGCTCTGTTTGTGGTTGTTGTGCTGGTTGTGGAGGTGGTTGTTGTGCAGGGTTTTGAACTGTTGGTTGCTGTGCTGGTTGTGGAGGTGGTTGTTGTGCAGGGTTTTGAACTGTTGGTTGCTGTGCTGGTTGTGGAGGTGGTTGTTGTGCTGGTTGTTGTTGTTGTTGTGGTGCTGGATTTTGAACTGTTGGTTGTTGTGTTGGTTTTGGTGCATGCCTGTGTCTGTGTCCATGTGACGATGTAAATGTTTTAGGTAGTCCTGGTGCAGGTGCTTCTCTTGGAGGGTTTGGTGGTATATAAGTTCCACTAGCTAGTATATAAGTTCCACCAGCTGGTATATAAGTTCCACCAGCTGGCACATATGTTCCATCTGCAGCATAATGTCCTACACCTGACTTTTCGTTCTTAAGAAAGCATTTACTAGGTCTCTTTTGGTCTGTTGTAACTCTTTTTCTTGACTTTCCACAACAGCTGTTCTAACGGCGTCATGGGCACTTTGAACTGCCTGTCTCGTTTGCATCTGTTATTTTTCGTCATATTTTGTGCTACTTCTTTTAACTCTTTGTCGAAACCTTCAGACTTCAGTTTCTTTCCAGATGAGAAGTCGTTCACTAGTTTCACCTTACTATGAAGAGCTTCGAAGGCGTTCTTAAAGTCAGCATTCGTTAAAGCTTCATTTGAACTGTCTTCATCCGCTTGTATTTTTGTCCTTATTGACCCTATAAGTTGGGCTGCTTTAGCGTTGGCTTGGGCGTCTAACCAGTCATTATTAGCTTTTATATATTCTGCGCTTTTCATTGCCTTTTGCATGGCTGCGTCGTTATTTTTACTTTCTTGTGCTAAGTTTTCATACTGTACGGTTTGGTTTTGCAACTGTAAAAGTTTTTCTGCCTTTACATTTGCTTCAACTTCTTTTTTATACTCATCGCTATCCATATATGTCTTCAGGGCTTTTTGTTTTATTTCTTCATCTTTCAGTACTTTATATTGAGTAGTATGGTTTTTCAAATTTATAACATCTTGTTCCATTTTTGCTACTTCTGCTGCTTTTTCTGACACTTTTTTCGCATATTCCTCTGTACTTAGTTCTTTCAGTTGTTCTTCTTTCTTCTTTTTCTCTACGTTTAACTCATTGAGTTTCTTTGTGTGTCTGTCATATTCTAGTTTCTTTTCGTTTTCACTTATTTGTTTCTGTATGTCTATGTTTGACTTTTTGACATCTGTTATTTGATTTTTGAGTGAACTCAAATTCATTTGACTTTGAGGGTTATAAGCTGTTCCGTCTGCAGCTCCACCATAGCCTGCCATTTTCGCTAAAAGTGCCGCTCTTAAACCTCCACTCTGTGCACCAATAACTCGGTTTAAAAGCATAGGGTTGCTTGACATTTGTTGCAACATAGTGGGGTCATTCAGCATTTGTTGTTGCAACTGTTGTTGTGGTGTCAGTTTTACTATTGGATGTTTCAATGCTCCCTTCCTCTTACGTATATTCTTACGTAGCTTACGTGGCATTTTAAGTGAAGTTAAAAAGCGGTTTTATACTAAACATCTTCGGGGCTAGAGGGCGCAACGCGCCTGGAAGCCCCACTACCTTTTTTTTTCAAGTAGATGTGATTTGATTCTGTACAACTAAATATTAATATATTTAAAACATTGTAGAATTAAAATTTTTGACGATATCAATTTATAAAAAAAATGCAAGCGAATCCTTTTAATAAAGCTAAGATACGATTTGCTTCACTTTGTCCACCTAGTAAAGTGTTCAACACAGGGAGCATGGACTGGGAAGCATGTGGGCTACTTGCATTAGCCGGTAAAGGCACAATTTATCTCTATAAAACTACTAAAAATGATATTTCTTTCTTATGATCCATTGAAATTCTAAATTCTAACATAACTTGCCTTAAATTCCACTATGAGCTACCTTATCTTGCAATTTCAGACGATTGCGGAAGAGTTTTGTTATGGGATTGTGAATCAGGTCTTACACTCGGAATCACTCGTCAAGTATCTGAAGCTCAGTATGTATCGGAGCTTCAATGGTCCCGTAAAATCGTTTTAGGCTTTGCAGAACCAAATACAATTTATAGTATCGATTTTTGGCCGTATGAAGCTGAAGATCAAGCGAAAAACTCACGAATACTTTGGAAGATAGATGTTCCTGGTACATATACAAGGATGGCTGTTAATAGTTCAGATATATTCACTGCAATTCTATATTCTAATGGTCCATCCTTTACAATTATCACGTCAAAGAATGCCAAGCAGGCTCCAACATCTCAATCTCAATCCCATACTTTAGATAAATCAGAAAAAATCGTAGAAATTCAACATCATCCCCATATTAGTAATATTTTATTAATTATGCTTGAAGGAAAAATACTTACGTTTAACATAGCGACCAAATCTGGCCGAAATCTTGTAATCGATGAATCATCCCAATCATCTTTCCATAAACTGCTTCCTTCTTTAACAAATGACAACGAAATTACAGTTTATGGTCAAGACTCGTCACTCAGTATCTATATCTGTAACGAAGACTACATTTTTACAAAATCAGGAACAATAAAATTGAAAAGAGAGCTGTTTGACTTAAAATCGAAGTATTTACCACTATCCGCTGCATGTAACCGTGCACTTCCCGAGCGATACATCGCGTTCTCTCCATCAAATGGCTTAGTTATGTTTGCCATAAAAGATGATATACCTTACGTCATCGCGCAGTCTCAAATTATACCACAGATACCAACCTGTTACGATTTCTACGACGGAATCCTTGCTTTCGGCACTCCAACCGGAAAGATAATTTTCGCAGACGTTTCAGAAGGGAAATACACACAGAACTACCTTGCATCCAGCACATCCATTGAAAAGATCAAGTTCCTTACCAAAGATGTCCTTCTGTGGTACTCAAAAACCGAGTGTGGATCAATAAATCTTCCCAAGCGCCAAGTTATTCCAATCCACACTCGCCTTGGCCCTGCCACAGACCTAATATGTTCAGAGGAGCTCGGCGTTTTCGTCCACGGCAAATACGACCTTGGTATTTTTTATGATGTCAAACAAAAGCCGATGACTCTTCAAACATCCATCACCGCTGTTGCAGTCCAAGTATCCAGAATACCAGCAACATGTTTCCAAGGCGATACTCCCAATTTCGCCGTATTATTATCTACCGGAGAAATCCAAGTCTACACATACAAGAACGGCATAGCACAGATGCCTGTTCTGAGGCTGCGTAACTCACGGGAGAACTCCAGGACAACTTGTCTTGCTTGGAAAGGCGATTGCATCATAACTGCTGACACAGACGGCGTAATTATGTTTTACGACTTTGCTTTCGGTACATCGAAGCAAACATACTCTCCTTTCATCGACATAGACAGGATAGAGTTCGAGAGATCATCCAGCGGATTGTACGTACACGCGAGAGACGGAAAATTTGGTTTTTCACTTGAAAAAGTGGAAAGTTGTCCTTTTTCTGTTTCCTCATTCGCTGTAACAGGAAATGGACTCGTCCTCGTCTCCCCGCTCAATGACGAAGCCGTGAAATTCGTTATTGCAAGAGACTGGAGATCTGTAAAAAGAATCACTTCACCTGCCCTCTTAAAACCGCTAAAAACCGCCCAGCAACGGTTAGAGCTTATGGGTGAGCAATTATTAACGAATCCTACTACAGGAACATGGTCAGAAGCACTTCAAATAGCTGAGATAGCTAATGACCATGGATTTCCAACTGATTCCATTATTTGGAAGTGTGTTTCACGTAGTTTGGGAGGTCCGAGGTTGCAAGCACGGCATTCCATGTTTGGAGGGAAAGAAGAAGTTGTTTCCGCGTTGAGGATTCAATCTTCTCTGTTTTCTCCTGCAGATACTCCGATTTCTGCCATTTTCAACTTGTTGTTCAAGTTCAGAATGGGTGATAGAAGAGGAGCTGTCGAAGTTTTCAAGAGTCTCTCCAACAAAAGCGAGTTCACAATAGTGGCAAGCATTTGTTCGGCGTTGCTTCTCGGTTACGAAGATAAAATTTTGCCACAAAACGTGACAGAATTTTTGATAACAACCGCTGTTCCACTTTTTGCACAGCACAGATTTATAGAAGGCTGTATATTGATGCATTTAGCTGGCGCTAATCTTTCTGCCGCAAGATATCTTCAGGACAACGGAAGATGGGAAGATTCTGTCGAAGTCTGCAAATTGGAAGAGTTTTCGAATGAGTCGAAGAGTTTGTTGAGAAGAGCCGCCCACCACTTCTTGGATACTGGAAATGCAATGAACGCTTTGTTGCTGTTCATATCAATAAGAGATTTCCATCCTGCTTTGGCAATTTTGATGCAGATAAAATACAAAGCTCTCGCGTTTCATTTGATGATGTTCTTGGATAGGGCTGATGTAATTAAGCCGTACGACGAAGACACTTCGAGATACGCAACACAGTTTGCGGATTTGGATACTTTGAGACAGGATATAATTGTCAAATATGACAAAATAATTAAGAAATAATTTTATTTGTATATTTATTTTCTTTATTTATAAAAAAAAGTCGAAAAAAAATGAAATTGTTTATATCGCATTTTCAATGATCTTTCAAGCCAGTTGTCAGATAGAAAAAAATTACGCATTTAACAAAGTTAAAGGGGAAAAGCATCCTGAAATTACGAAACATTTTAAAAAAAAATAAAAAAAAATAAAGTGGGAAAGTCTGGAAATGATATGCTATGTATTGTAATTTTCAAAACTCAGCTTTCTAATGGAGCTATCACTTGTTACGTAAACTATATATATCGAATCAAAAGTTTGCCATGTTGTAATTTGATTTACAAGACATGATTTAATTAAAAAATAAAGGGTTTAAAATATAAAATAAAATATTTATCAAAGAAAAAAAGTTAAACTAAAAAATATATCAAAATAAATATTATATTAATATAAAGAGGTAGCAGTTTGACCAGCTGGATCTGTGATAGAAACTGTAATTTTAACCGTTGAGTCTTCAGAAATCTTTGAAGGAGCTGCAATTTGGAAAA